CCCCGGGCTCCACAGACGCCTCCGTCACCCTTATTTCCAGCCACAGCATGGCGCTTACAGTGGCCGGTGGTCTCGGAGCGCTCCTCGAGAGCCTCTCTTTGAGCAAAGCCTTTTACAAATAGCCATCTTCCCCCTAAAAAAAAACCCAAAAGGCACCAGATGCTGCTGGCAGGACCTGCTGCTCTGAAAAGCCCCGTGTCCACGTAGTGCAAAGGTCTGGCAGGATGTGTGCCCAGGCCATAATAAATCTTTAAGCTTTCTCCAGCTCAAGGCAAATTTCTTATGGCGCTTGCAGTTCAGTTCCTAAACTGGGGCACCGTCCCCTAATGGATTTTGTTCTGGGCTCACGACAAGGGGAGCCTGGTGATGCTCAAACCCATAATCTCCTCCTTACACCATCCCCTCCTAACCACAGTTCCCAGTGCGAGACACACAGCTTCAGCTGGACCGGCCCCCAGTGGAGTAACGGAGCGAGCATCAAACAGCACTTCCATGATCACAGCCGTCTGCCAGACTGCCGCTGACATTCCTCCCTCCCTAACCTCATTCCCAGTATTTATGGTTCTGTGGCAGAGAAATACAATGTGCTACACGGCCCAATCAGCTCTTCCTCCCACCCTGCCCCCCAGAATCGCTGGACCGAGAGGAGGAGATGAGGAGACCTCGTGTAGACCTTGGCACCTGAGTCAGTCCCAGCAGGGGACTAAAGACGACACAAACAGACCGGCCAGAGCTTCCCAAAAGTCACCTTCAGGTCTGATCAGCTATGGCAAACCACCTTGGACACGGTCTGGCCTCTTCCAGACCAGGTCTGTCTCCTTGTGGCCTCTGCCACATGGATGATTGGCCAAGATGATAACTTTGCTGCTTAGCACCTACCAAAACCTGACCATGGGGAGATCACGTACGCCCTCCCTCCCCTGCTGGCCAGCAAGACGCCCACCAGGCAGGAGGGCATTGCCAGCAGGCTGCACGGCTCTCAACACGCTTTTGGGGAAAGCAGCAAGGAGACATCCTAGCTCCTGGGCCGTGAAGGGCGGATGCTGTCAACAGGCGGACCAGCACGAGCGGCTCCTCCATTCCTGCAAAGAGTGCAGTGAAAGCACAGGGAGGGGCTTCAGTCCTCTGTCTCCAGGAAAGACCAGCATCCTCAGGGGGATGGCCAGGAAGGGGGGATACACTTTACAGAAGAGGCATTGAGCCCTATCACTTAAATTAAAGAGTGCACTCGAGGACATAAATGGGCTTTCTTCATTTTGTACTCCCAAAGCTATGTGAAGCAGTGGGGAAGTCTGAAGGCAACCCAGAGTTAAACACATTTCATACAAAATCTTTTTTTAAACCTGGCCAGCAGATTATGCAACGCTGAAGTGGGAGACAGCTGATGGTCTGCAAAGATAACTCCACCGAGAAAAAAACAGCGGATAATCTTCCAAATCTGCTGCAAGGTAGCAGAGGGGGAGTCAGACCCACGGCCCGGAGCCTGCAGCCATCTGCGCTGGCGGCAGCAAAGGCGACGGCGCTCCTTGCAGCCCGGGCTGCTGCAGAGGATGCCGGCAGCACGCTGGCCCCTCAAGGCACGGGCACAGACGGAGGCGGCCGTCACTTGCATTTCCCAGAAGCACAAAATCGGGGCTGTCTGCGAGCGTTTGCAGCCCCGGTGCTCGCTACTGCTGGCGGGAGGGAGCCCTGGGTGCCAGGACTGAAAAAACAGCAGCAGGAGGAGAAGTGGTGGGGGTCCTTCAGCAAGTGCCGGGCTCCCCCTCCAGCCTGGCACGCCAAGCAGAAACCCGGGGCTCCTGGTTAAATTAATCCTAAACCTAAAAGCCTACCCGGGGCAAGAAACCTGCAGCTCAGCCAGTGCTCTGCTCTGGGGGACTGAAGGCAGATGCAGCTGCAGAGGCCACCACAGCTTCTCCCAGCTGCCTTCTGCCCAAAAAGGAACGTTTCCAGGCCAGGGTCCCAGCCCCAAGAGCACGGTGGTGGGATTTCAGACCAACACAGCTCCGCTGGTGAAGGCCCTGGCTCAGGCACAGGCAGGTACCGGCTGGACCACTTTTTATTAGGATGAGCTGGTTCCCAGGTGATTGCTGCATTGGGGGTGAAGACTTGGCGGGTGCTACGACTGTAGGAACGCTGGGTGTGGGGGAGAGCTTTTAGTCATTAAATCCTCCACCCTTCCCAGTGGGGGCGGGGGGAAACGTGCTAGGGACAATACAGCCCTACAACACAAAGAAATGGTAAAACTCAAACCTGGAAAGAGCTCACGCTGCAGCTTGTGGAGGGATGAGGAACATCATCTCAGCCCGAGGCGCCAGACAAACCTCCTCCTCCTCCACGCCCCAGCAGCAGCCCAGCTCGGAGATGGAGCAGAGCACCCCTTCCCACCCCCACAGCGCTGTCACCCCCGAAACCATCAACAGGATTCTGACTACGTAGCAAGGCAGCTGTGCCCCAGGGGACACACACCAGTTTGCACTGGGGCCAGCCCTGCGGCTGGCGGGGCGCCCACGGCGC